CCAGGTTTTCCACACTTACCTGATCCCTCTGCCTGGCTTTTGTACCTGCTGAACTCCGCCCCACAATGCTACTCCTTGTGCTTTCAGCTTCTCCTTCTGGGAGCTTCCCCAGCTACCTTTTCAGCCAGCCAGGGAATGAATAGAGAGACAGTCAGTAATACACCACTTGGTATTAGTCTCTGGCCCGAGCTGGGCTGGCCCTTTGTGTTGCCCATGATACTTTAATCAGTTGACTGAAGATGGTAATTGAGTGATGTCCCCAACCCTGTGACAGGACGAAGGACAGTGCCTCCCATCTGCCCATGGAAACTCCTGGCTTTCCTGTGTCTGATTTAAGTATATCAAGCTGCATTTCAAATATGGAGTAACCCTGGAGGAGCCGTCTAGCAGAAGGCAGCTCCATACTGACTGACAGATGGCAGGCATATTTGAATGTGCCTCAGTTTGCTCATCTGTGGTAAGGGATGGCTAGGCAGTACCTAATTCCTATGGTTATGATGAAATCTACTGATGAGCAAAAAACACTTAGAGCCTGGCCTGGCAACTCCAGAGGTCAGAGAAAGTCAGCTGTCCACCCACAGAAACTGGGAACTGGGACCCGACTGGAGCTTTTGAGTTTGGTGTCCCCTGAATCACTATTCACAGTGGCCAATGTAGCCATCGAGGACAACAAAGTATGGCCCATCCACAGGACAGAATATAATTAGGATCTTAACAGGCAGAAAGTCCTACCCTGATTAATAGCATCCCTAGGCCTTGGGACCATCATGCTAACTAAAGGAAATGATCGTGTGAGAGTGGTTTCTTGGAAAACGCAGTTTAAGGGTTACCTCTACACATCAAGCTCCCAGCCAGCCTGTGGCCAAGTCAGTGCTGTGCTTTGAGGTCGTTCATTACAATGTGCCCTTTCTGCTCACATGCTGCACATCCAGCCTGCTCAGGGTTAACTGGCCTCTAGGGAAAGCATTACAGTCACTCTTACTATACTTTGGACTGCCAACGTAAAGTCTTGCAGGCTCAGCTGAAGGCCCAGCTTTGATTATGCTGTTTTTTTTGTTTTTGTTTTTTTTTTTTTTTTTGGTTTTTCGAGACAGGGTTTCTCTGTGTAGCTTTGCGCCTTTCCTGGAACTCACTTTGGAGACCAGGCTGGCCTCGAACTCACAGAGATCCGCCTGGCTCTGCCTCCCGAGTGCTGGGATTAAAGGCGTGCGCCACCACCGCCCGGCTTGATTATGCTGTTTTTATTATTTCTATTTCTCCTTCACACCTGCTGCAGGACGCTACTCCTGGGACAAATGTCCACCCACCCTAACAGGGAACAAAGTACAGATAAAGTCCAACTTGGTGAAGTCTGACTGGGCTTACATACAGTTGCATGAGTGAGGGTTACTTACTGGAGCAGAAATGACTCAAAACAACGGTTATTACCAAAGGCCATCACCAGCAAGGGTGACGGTTCATACAGTGGGGCCTGGAGCTCTTACGGAACAACCTACAGGCAGGCCACTCTAGGCTGGAGAGTGCTGTTTTCGGGAAGCTCAGGTGACCCGAGACTCTTTGAGGCAGATCTGGCTGGCCATTTGTTTCTTCCAGGCCATTTGGCTGACCTGATTTCCCCAGGAGGCCCAGCTGTAAGGGTCTTCTAGGCCACTCAGTTTATCTGAGAGTATCACTTAGCAGTTCTTACAGGAGAAGCCTAGTGAATCTGGTCAGTTTCAGGGACTTCCTGAAGCTATTCTGAGTTATTTACTTCCTGTCTTAACCAGGTTTGCTGCTAGATGGAGTGTTTCACTCCACTTAGACCATCCTGCTGCTTCACCTCCCTGGAAATGTACTGAGCCCTTAGGGCTTCCCTCCAAAACTGAAGCTTTTAATATTGAGGAAACTGCTATACAACAAACTCATTCATGCGTGCACCGGTTGTGGTGACCAGGTCTAAGACCACGTGCGGGAAGCAGTGAGGCACATTGTAAACAATGTCCTACCTCTCCGTAGTGCCTACCCATCCCCCTAAAAATTATGTTGGAAGCAACTTGTGATTATAACTTAATAGCACCTGATTGTGCTTTTGTGTGCTGTTCTGAGTAGGTAGATGAGGGGAAAAATTTTTTTTCTCCCTTATGAGACTCCTGTAAAAGATTAAGACCAAAGTTGCTAATTCCTATTTGTTATATTTGCTGCACTGTTCAGTATAGAGAGAGAACAGCCTTGATTCAGGACTCCTTTTTTAGATTAGGACTCAGTTAGACTTCTTTTAGACTAGATCTCGTCTGGATTGGACTATTAGAACAGGAGAGACCCAGACTCCTGGATAAACGGGTCCACTCTTGGCTAAAGGACCAAGAGGTAGTCTTTTTCCCTTTGTGTGGCATCACCACACAAACACACACAAACACAAGGGCTGTATCCACCCACTCATGGGACCCATGAAGCAGGCATGGCCACAGAATGGGGTCACCAGGGGCTTGGGGGATAGAAGGGAATGGGCAGTTGTATAATGGGGACCATGGTTTGGTTTCACAGGGCAAAAAGAGTTCCTTGAATCTGGGGAGATGGTTCAGTTGTTGAGAGCACCTGCTGCTCTTGCAGAGTACCCAAGCTGTTCCCAGAGCAGCCTCACAACTGCCTGTAACTCCAGCTCCAGGGGATCCAACGTCCTCTTCTGTACTACTGAGCACCTGCACTCATCGTGAACACACACACAAACACACACATACACTACACTTAATATTGACAGCTAGAAGGCCCAACACTGTTAAAACGGTGCATTTTGTGTTATGGATATATTATTTATAATTAAAAACACAAAAGGGAGAGCCTGTGGTGGTGCAGACCTGTCATCCCAGTCCTCAAGGATCTAGAACAGAGGAATTTTGAGTTCTGGGCCAACCTGGGCTATAAAGATCTCGTCTCAAATAAAAAAAAAAAACACCCAAGAGATAAAGAATCAGCAGTTGCTACTTGGGGAGAGGAGGTAACCCTGGGTTGAGTGCAAGCAGTGGGCCATGGCTTGTGGCCGGGTGCTGGCCATCAGGACTTCTCTTGGCTGGCCTTTGGGGGACTATTTAGAAGAGTTAACTATCTAGATCCCTGAGGACCACACTGGTTTTTGGCCCTTGGCCATCCACATAGCCCGATTTCAACATTTTTGTGTTGGGAACTTCACACAGGAACTTTGACCCTCACCCTAAACTCAGAGAAGTGCTTGGTGTGCCCACACAAGACAGGAGGCACTGGCTTCTGCCAACCCTGACTCTGCTCTGAGGAAGTTACTGTGGGCATCTTGGGACAAGATTGGCAGTCCAACTCTGTCCCACAGAGCCCAGAGGCTCTGAGCAGATGTGGGTTCTTAAAAGCCTGACTTCCCTCTCTCAACTCAACTTGTGGAGTTTCCCAGCCATTTCCTAACCTGTTTGAAATTAGGAATTGGATGAATAAAGCAGAGGCTGGGTAAACTCTGGTGAGGTTGCACAATGTGTCAAGAGGCAGCCCGAGGGGGGAGGCTAGGACGCCTAGCTTTCTGTCCTTTTTTGTCTTTGGATGTAAGTGTGGATGGGGCCCTAAGTTCTTGATCTCCCCTGGGTGCCCTGTGGAGCAGAGGCAATAACCTCCAGCTTGAGCTCTGTGGGCTCCTCTGAAAATGTCACCCATTAGGACCACAGGAGAAGAGCCACCATCTGGCTTTTATGTCTGTTTTTTGAAACAGGGTCTCTCTGTGTAGTCTTGGCTACCTGGAACTTGCTATGTAGACATGGTCTTGAACTCATAGAGGTCTCTCTGTTCTGCCTCGCCAGCGCTGGGGTCAAAGGTGTGCGTAACCACGCCCAGCAACCTTCTGTACTTGCCTTCTGCAACCTGACAAGAGACAGGACGGAGGCACATCTTAAATCTGGCACTTGGATACCTGGTGGTGGTGGCACACCTTTAATCCCAGCACTTGGGAGGCAGAGGCAGGCGGATCTCAGTGAGTTCAAGGCCAGCCAGACCGGGTTCCAGGAAAACCAGGGCTGTTTCACAGAGAAACCCTGTCTCAAAAAACCAAAAAAAAAAAAAAAAAAAAAAAAAAAAAAAAAAAAAAAAAAACCAAAAAATAAAGCAAACAAACAACAACAAAAAAAACCCAACTGGCACTTGGACAGTGCTCCCCAGGAGGAAGAGGAAGTTCTGAGTTTCCAGGGACAACCCCTAAACATAACCCCCCACTCAGCTGCCCTTCCCTCTCCCTTCAAAGCCCAGCTTAGGCTGGCAGGGGAAGAAGAGAGGACCCAAACAAAAGATGGGGAGGAGCTGAGCTCCAAGTAGAGGCAAAAAAGAAGCTGGTGTTTAGTGGGGGAAATTCCTGAGTGAGCCCATACTCCAGGGGGCAGAAATTCCTAGCGGGTGAAGCATCCCCCTTCCTACACTAGTCTACAACCCCACCCGCCCCAAGGCAGACCCTGAGAAAAAGCCTGCAGAAGGGAATCCTGAGGATCTGGCCCAAACTCAGCCTGAGAAAGCTTGTCAATCAATGGGAGCTCCGCAGGAGGAGTGTCTGTCATCTCTGCCTGTGTGACCTCTGGGGCAAAGATGAAGGCTCCTCTAACACCAGGCTTGGTAATGAGAGGTCCCAGGACCGGCCGTGTGCCCAGCTGCCTTAGGACACCTCCTCCAGGAAGCTTGCCTTCCAGGCTTCCATAGACTCAGAGGTGCTCAGAGGGGTAACAGCACGTGGCCGAGGGGTTGAGGTGGTAGAGGGCGCTCCCCACACCTAAGTAGGTGCTGACTGTGTGACGCGGAACAGCGGCTCTGGGCGTGCGCCCCTGCTTGGCAGCCAATCAGAGATCGTCGAAGGACAATGGCCCCGCGTCTAGCGGAACTTGTGGCCCCCGTGATACCCTTCCCTGCGCACACATACCCGGGCCACACTCGGCTAGCTCTGCCACCTTTTTTCCAGGCTGTTGGGAACAGCGAAGCGACCCCGCCCCCTCCCTCTCTACTGGCCCCGCCCCGCCCCCAGCTCTGGACTCGGACTGGTCCTTGGCCTCCGCCCGCGGATTTTCCGTGGTTGCGGCTGGTGGGGGAGGCGGAGCCCGGGAGGGGCCAGCGACTATTTCAGGCTGTGGCCCGCCAGGGTCAGGACTAAGGCGTCCTGTCCCGGACACAGTAAGTGACCTCCACCGGCGTGCCCCTGTCCCTACCGCTCCGTGTAGCTTCCCCTCCGGTCCTGATCCAGAGTCTCCGACAGGACTCCCCGAGGGAATGGCCCTGAGTGGCCAAGAAAACGCGGGCGGGATATTCCGAGGTCCCTTGACCTCCAGCATACCCACTGGTAGGGACGTAGAGGTTTTACTCTGTACCCCTCGAGCCAGGGACCAGCACAGGGCTCTCTCCGGAGAAACGCAGGGTGTAGGGACCGGGACAAAAGCTAGGGAATCTCAGGTTCACAATAGGAAGGTCCCAGCACCCGCGGGATTCCCTGCCCGGGTAGTCTCCAGTGGGCCTGGGCACGCTCTCTTGTCACCCGATGAAAGAGACAGTAGGTTGCAAGAGAGTCTCTGTGGACCAGGGGCATCTAGAATTAAGGTAGGTGACACCAGCTGCAGCCATTCCGCGTGCCTCTGAGCAGGCCCCTTCCTGCCTCAGTGGGTCTAGCTGGGACTGGCGCTTTAAACATCACCCCATCACTCCTGCTCTCTGGGGAGCCTGCAGTCACAGGGACACAGGGGACTCACATCTGGTGCCAAGTTCCTGGCTTGTGATTTTGCCACATCTCCTGAGCAGCACTGTGAGTAGGAGGGCTCATCCCCATTTCACAAATGGCAAAACTGAGGCCTCCTGAGGAAGGGGGTTGTTTAGTGCTAACACTGGTGAGAGGTGTCTCTGAGCCCACAGCTGGTCCTCCCTCTGGTACCAACAGCCTCTGACACCAAAGGGCAACTGGGGCCAGACACTCAGGTTGGGGCTGTAGCCCCATCAGCCAGACCAGCCTTTCTGGTTGTCTAGCATGCAAATAGGATAGGTTGGCACAGGCCCTAAACACTGCACGGCCCCAAGTGGAATTCTCCGGCCTCATGAGGTTAAAAGGAGAAGGGTCTGTCTGTTCAGGGTACCCAGGGAGGATGATAAAAGCTGGGGTGGAGGAGCCCAGGCTTCCTGTCTAATCAGGGTGCTCTACCCATGCCCCAGTTATGGGACAAGCCCCTCAGGAAATGGGCTGGACAGCCGAGCTGGTGGAGGCAGAGGGAACAGTGGCCTCATCTGAGCCTGGCGAGTCTGCTGTGCTTGGGGCAAGGCCCTCCCATCGGCTGCTTCAGTTTCGTCTTGGTGGTGGTGGGTCTTCCCATTTGCCATCTAGGGCCATTTTAGGGTTGCTCCATGTCATTTTGGCGAATTGAAGCTACAGCTTGGGGTGTGTATTCTTGGGGATGGGGCGGGCAGGCCACCTCCTGGTAATGGGTCACACCATTACCACAGAGGTTCCTGCCTGATTCTCCCTCTGGGCTAGTCATGCTTCCTCTGGCGGTCCTCCTTGCTCGGACAGTCCAGATACAACAGGGGATGTGGAGGACTGAGAAGCTGGTCCTTTGAGTCAGATGTTGTGGCTTCCAGGCTCAAGCTATTGACCACAAGGTTATTTTAAGCTAAATAACACCCTTGCTGGGGAGAGACTAGATGGGATGGGCCCTCGGGAAGGGCATAGAAACCGAAACTTTTGTGAAGGTCGTGTCACCCCGTTTGGAAGCAAGCAGGGTAAGGTGGAAACCAGGCAGTGTGGGTCCCACACTCAAGTTGCTGTGACTCCCGGCATCCCTGTGCCTTGCTGACATGTAAAAGGCTTCCTAGGGTCCTTTGCTCAGGGTCTGAGGTCCCCAATCCCCAAGCCAGCATAGGGGACAGGCTCTATTCTTCTTGTGGTTCCAGTACAACAGTTGTGTTTTGCTTGTGGTATATTTCTGTGACCCCAAAGCTAGATAAGAACTGTGCAGGGAGGCAGAGGTGGGAGGCGGAGGCTGGTCTCGGTAGGAAGAGTAACCACTGAGTGGGTGTGAAATTTTTAGACCCGTTCTTGTTGTCCCAAGGAATAGCAGCCTGTGTCCTGTCTCCTCACCAGAGTCTGATGGAGTCAGAAAGGTACTCACTTCTCATGTCCCCTTTCTCTCCAAGAAGCTGCACTGTCAAGGGAGGATTTACTCGTGTGCAGAGACTGCCCCCTCAGTCTGGGAGGTCTGGGGCCTCCAGCCTCTTCCTTGCCTGGGCACTACAGCACCCATGGCCAAGGAGGGAGCAAGGCTGAGGGCCAGGAGATGGGGGTTCTGGTGGCCATCCAGGTGAACTTGATGGAGCACTGTCAGGGCTGGGAGCTGGCTGTGCACTCAGGCCTGGGGACCATTCGCACTGCTCTCTCAAGGCTGTGCTTTTCAACCCGCAGGCCTAAGCCAGGGCGATGCTGAAAATGGTGACTTTCTTCCAAGGGCTTCCTGGCCAACAGTCTGTGCCGGGGACCCTGGACTTCCCTGGAAGCCCCCAAAAGTCACGCTCCACGTCTGAGGCGGAACCGGAGGCCTCCATGTCAGAGGCTTCTTCCGAGGACCTGATGCCATCCCAGGAGGCTGGGATGGCTCGGGATGAGGAGGAGGAAGAGTCTGCAAAGAAGGAGAAGAAGAAGTCCAAAGGACTGGCCAACATGTTCAGTGTCTTCACCAAAGGGAAGAAGAAGAAGAAGAAAAAGGACCAGCCCAGATTATCAGATCCTGAGGTCCAGCCCAAGTCCAGGCCCGAGCTAGATGGTCCACCGCCCACAGGTAGGCTGTGGTGGTAGCTGGGGCTGGAGTAGCACGAAAGAGTCGGTCCAGGTTTGGGTATGGGCTCATATACCACTTAGCTAGGACAGTGGGCAGGTGAGACAGTCAGGCGAGTCACTAGTGTAGGAGATGGGGTTCCCTGCTCGGGTCTTGTCTGGGACATTGGCACCCTCCCTGGGAGCTGAGCCTCCTCTTGTCCCCGGTGGGTTTGTCGACCTAAAGGCGGGTTTCTGCACTGCAGTGGAGGAGCTCAAGGAGGCCCTGGAGAGTGGGCGGCTGGAGGCCGCGTGGCAGGTGCTGGCACTGGAGCGGGAGCTGGAGGCTGAGGCAGCGGCGGCGAGCCACAGGAGCAACGAGGAACTGGTGCGCCAGCAGAGCAAGGTGGAGGCGCTGTACTTGCTGCTGCGCGACCAGGTGCTTGGGGTGCTGCGGCGGCCGCTGGAGGCGGCGCCCGAGAGGCTGCGCCAGGCGCTGGCCGTAGTGTCACAGCAGGAGCTTGAGGACCGTCGGGCGGCCGGGGCACCTGTGGCGGCGGTGCTGGTGGCCACGCGCCCCCGGCGCTGGCTGCAACTGTGGAGGGACAGTGTGGCGGAGGTGGCGGCGGAGCGTCTGGACGCGCAGCCAGCCGTGGTGCCCGAGGGTCGCTCGGAGGCCGAGATCAGGTTCCTGCACATGGGCTGCACCATGAAGGAGGACCTGGAGGCGGTGGTGGAGCGGCTGAAACCGCTGTTCCCTGCCGAGTTCAACGTTGTGCACACCTATGCCGAAAGCTACCACGCGCACTTCGCAGCCCAACTGTGCACCTTGGCGCAGTTCGAGCTGTGTGAGAGGGACACCTACTTTCTGCTGCTCTGGGTGCTGAACCTCTACCCCAAGTGAGCTATGCCAGTGGATGGGACGGGTCTCCTCTGCGGGGGGGGGGGGGGGTGCTGAGACTCCAGGGGCAGACATTGTTGAGCTGAAAACCAGTGTCGGGGGTGAGGGGAGAGAGTTGGGAATTGCACCCAATGTTTTGGCTTTGTACTTCAGTTTCCTGAACCTTTGCCATTCCGCAGTTGGGGAAGGGAGGCACGGAAAAGGAGACTTCGTCATTCGTTCTCAAGGAGGTCTCCGATCTGAACAGGGATGAAACAGAGTAGGAGGGGCTGTGACAGACGCAGCTGGACACAGGGGAGGCCAGAACACAGGGCTTGAGAGGACACCAGGTCTGGGGGAGTCAGGGAGTCTTCTGTATTGAGTCAGTTCACACTTTAATGGCTGTACAGTCAGGCAGGGAGGGGACAGAACACCCAAGGAAGAAGTGGTAGGGAGGATGGTATTCTAGGGGAGTGACATTCTGGGAGCTGAGCAGAGATGCTGTGTCATAACAACCCCTTGCAAGAGAGCTAGCAACTGTGGAGTGGCACTAGGTGTCCCTGATGGGGCAGTCTCTGTCAGACAGTATCACCCTGGTGGCCCATTGAGTTCTGGAGCCCCTCGGATGAGAGGCTGGAATATGCCAAAGGTGGGCAATTGGTACTCAGCTGGGTCCAGCCTCAGCATCCTTTGATTGGTCCAGACTCCATGGATCCCCAAATGGGCCTGTCATCCACACCAGCTGAGGGAGAGTGACTGGTGTTACAGGGTGGAAATGTTCACAGCACTAGAGACCAGGGATTTGTATGGATTCCTCAGACCTGAGTGTATAGTCTACAGGAGGGAAGGCCAAGGACACAGACAGTGTGAGCAGCTTGAGAAGTGCTGAGCCAGCCTCCTGTGGGAGGGCCAGGGAAAGGACATGAGAAGGGTGATAGGTGAAGAGCCAGCAGGACATAGGGAAAACAGGCAGGGACTTCCAGAGACAGCGGGGCCCTGACCCGGTTCCTGCTAGTTTCTCCTGACTCACCAGGAAATGCCAGGCACTCATGCTCCCTGCCTGGTCACCTTCCTGCCCCTGTGATACTTAGGGGTCTCCTGACTTGGGGCGCAGCAGGAAACTAAGGCTAGCCTGAACATGGAGTCCAAGGGAGGCATATTGAGACCTGTCCTGTGAGGACCAAAGTCTGACTCACATGCATCCAAACTGGGTGAAGGGCACAGAGTGGCTCATTCTTAATGTTCTAGGCAAACAAAAGGCCTTAAGCAGTGCCAGGGCTGGGCAGGTCCCCTGGGAACTCTGCAGCCACTTGAGGCACCAAGAGAGTTCTATAGGGCAGTTCCAGGGCAGCCTTTCCTGTTCAGCCACAAGGCTGGTCTGGTGGGGCTGGCTTTAGGGTCAGAGGCTGTGTCGTATCTGTGCAAAAGGGGAAGCCTGGTAGCCTAGTGGTCTGGGGAACTGGTTTAGAGCAGGAGGAATGGGGTGGTGGTGGTAGTAAGAAGAGGCAGGATGACTCCAGCCTGAACTAAATCGAGTGTGGTCAGACCTGGGGAAGGGGGCGGGGCAGAAGATGCAACAGTATCTGCGGCTGCAGAGTCAGGGGACTCAGCTGCTGGGGTGCTGCTGTCGTCACGCCAGTGTCTCTCCGCCCACAGTGATATTCTGAACAGCCCTAAATTGGCAAAGGAGCTACAGGGTATCAGGCTGGGGAGCCTCCTGCCCCCTAAGCAGATCAGGTTGCTGGAGGCGGTGTTCCTGTCCAATGAGGTGGTGAGTCCAAATGCTGGGGGCGGGGCCTGGGAGGGCAGAGTGGAGATGGAAGGGAAGAGCCCAGTCAGGACACAGTGTGTGACAGACACTTCCAGATGAGTTTAGTGACAGGTTTAGTGCTACCAAGACCTGTGTCTTTTCCCCTAGACCAATGTGAAGTTACTGATGACCCGAGCCTTAGAGCTAGAGTCTCAGCGCTGGGCCCGGGATGTGGCTCCCCAGAGCCTGGATGGCCATTACCACAGTGAGCTGGCAATCGACATCATCCAGGTACCTCTAACTGCCCCCTCAGGCCCATGGTGAACAGGGACAGCCACAGCTCACCTCTGATGGTCCCCATGTTCCAGCATGCACCTCTCTTCCATGCTCTGCCCCTGCCCCAGTCCAGAGGGGCACCTGCTATGCTTACCCGCTGCTCTCTGCAGATCATCTTACAAGGCCAGGACAAGGCTGAGAACATCACTCCTGAAGTGGGGGTACAGATAAGACAGTTGCTACTGGTGGAGCTGGCTGCACTACTGAGGAGGTAGGTGTGTCTACAGCACACAGGGTCCCCAGCACCTTAGGGTGGGGGGATTCAAGCTAAGTCAGTCCTGCCCTGCCCTGCCTTTGTCAACTACAGCCCAGGGTCCTCGGCCCCTGCCCCAATCCAGAGCACCAAGAGCCTCGGTTGGGTGACCTCTACAGGAATCAGTACTTCCTGACTTCACCATCATCAAAGCTCCCTAGCAGAGCAGTTTGGTAGCTTAAAAGAAGATGCACCATGAGGAATGGAGGCCCAGCTGCCCCTTCCCGTGACATCCTCAGAATTAACTTGGTTTCCTCCCCCAGTTCTGAAAACACCATCCACCATCAGACTGTGACACCCTTTGGCCTCCCAGTTACAGAGGGGGACTGAGGAAGAGGAGGGGCCTGGGGAAAGAAAGGGGACCCCAGAGTCAGGTAGCACTTTCTCTGGAGCCCAAGCAGGGCTCTGTCCCTCTGGCCTCAGTTTCTGCAGCTTGTAATAGGATGTTTAGGAGCTTATGGCCCCTCCCTGGATCCTGGGGAGATCAACAGCCCGCAGACTGAGAGGGAGTGGCTTCTGTTGTCCCAGTGTTTGAGCTGGTCCTGAAGATGCCCTTCTGTTTTATCAGCTACCAGCGCACCTTTGATGAATTCCTAGAGAAGAGCAAACTGCTGACAAATTACAGGGCCAACATCATCGCCAACATCAACAACTGCCTGTCCTTCCGGTGAGAGGATTGGGCAGATGTGCCCGATGGGAAGAGGGCAGACGGGGGGTGGAGCACAGAAGGGGAATTAAGGGTCACAAGGCAGTGAGGAAATGGCAGGGCTGGAGCAGCCGCAGCTCCGGGGTGGAGTACTGAAGGAGTCAGCAGGATGCAATTGATTTACTAGTTTAGCTTTATAACAAATTGTGAAGCAGAAGACACACCAAGCAGAGGTGGAGAGCTGGAGACCCGCCAAAGGCAGGAGGGAGGTGCCTGGGGCGTGGGGCATCCATGGAAGACTTGGACGGGATGCCACAGGGAGTGGAGGACTGCTGAGGGTCCTAGAGCAAAGACTAATTCAGGAAGACCAGTCCAAGGATCGCTGCACAGTGTTGGAGGCTGGGCAGGCCGGCGTGACCTGCTTTCGTTCACTCTCCAGAACATCTGTGGAGCAGAAGTGGCAGATACCTCAAGATTCCCTGAACCACATGCTGGATCCCTTGAAAGATCTTAAGGCTCATGGCTTCGACACCCTGCTCCAGAGCCTGTTTTCAGACCTGAAGGTATCAGGAACCCCATTATAGGGCGCATCCTGAAGCCCGGCACAGGAGGGAGATCAGAGAGAGGAGTAGTAGAAGCCCCTGCCTCAGACCTGCAGGAGGCACGGATGGGGAGGTGCAGTGTTGCTGGGGATGTCCAAGTGGTGGGGGCCTGAAGTGCTCTCCAGCTGACCCACCCCACATCCTGGCTTTGCCTTGGCCTGGAAGGACCACAAAGCTAGGAGCATCCGGAGAAGATTCATCCCCCACTCCCACCCCTGCCATTCCTGCTCCCAGTTCCTGGGGCTCAGGACCTTTGAGAGCTGGATTCTATCTCCTGGGGGCCCCTTAGAAAGCAGAGGAGAGGTTCCCTGCTCAACCTCAGAACTGGAGGTACAAAGGGCAGCCAGTGGGTATGGAAAGCCCACGGGGTGACCCTGGATGACCTGGCACAGGGCTTGTTTATGCAGGAATGTATTTATTTAAGAGGGAGGCAATGGAAAAGATCTGCAGGGCTACAGACAGGCTGTCCTGCTCTCCTGAGCCACAGCTGCGTGACCTTGGAAGAAGGGTACACACAGACTACCTCTGCTTCCGATCTGAGAGCAGGAACCTGAAGTTGGCCAGCTCCTGGAAAGCCCTTGGGACCCTACTGGCCATGAGTGTCTATGTGAGGGTGTCTGTGCCTGGCTGCCCTTCCTTTCTGGGTGTGACCAGACATCCTGCCTCTCGCCTGTCCCAGCCACTGTTCAAGAAGTTCACACAGACCCGCTGGGCAACGCCAGTTGAGACCCTGGAGGAAATCATCACTACTGTGGGCATCAGGCTGCCTGAGTTCTCAGAACTGAAGGACTGTTTTCAGGAGGTGAGGGAGCTCAGGAGTGGGCCTGGGGATTGGCGCTGTCTGGACACCCACGCTAACCAGCAGTGTTTATACCTCACACCCACATGTGTTTACACATGTGCACGGGGATTGCAGGCACCCGTGCTCACACTTTTGCCTCTATGTATTCCTGGGTTTTTGCCTTGGAAGCTTTAATTGAGGAGAGGAGATGAGCCTCTGTGGGTAGGTGTCAGTTGATGTCTCATTCTGCCTGCCTAGGAGCTCATGGGGGCCGTGCACCTGCACCTGGTGAAGGAGTACATCATCCGGCTCAGCAAACGGCGCGTGGTCCTCAAGACTGAGGAGCAGCAGCAGCAGCTGGCACGGCACATCCTCGCCAATGCCGACGTCATTCAGCATTTCTGCACTCAGAATGTGAGCACACCCCACCCTTCCCTGAACAAGCCCTGCAGCCTCTCCAAGCCTGGCCAGCTACTGCTCTCTTAGTACCCCTGGGGGAAAGGGATAACCTTCCCTCTGCCTCCAGGGCTCCAACGCAACCTGGCTGAACCAAGCCCTCCCCAGGCTCGCTGAGATCATTCACCTGCAAGATTCCAATGCCATTAAGATTGAAGTGGCCACATATGCCACCTTGTACCCTGACTTCAGGTGAGCACTAGAGGCCCTCGGGAACTGAGCAGCTGGTTTGTCCCTGCCAGGTCCCACTGTGCTCTGAACATGCTGGGACTAGAATCCCCTCATGACCCACTCAACTGCTAAGGCTCCACCAAGGTGGGATCATAATGTCTGATGCTCAGTCTGGGGGTGACTTGGGGGCATGTGCACCTCCTGTTTCTGGACCTAGTCTAGCCTGTGACTGACTCACGCCACCTATTCAATCATTTTCTACGTATATTGACCCGTATACAGCTAAGCCCCCATTCGCCTATCTACTATCCATTAGTCTATGTACTTAGCACTCTCTGTCCATTCACATAGATATTCATCTACCTATCTACCCACTTTCCCATGTAGTTATCCATCCGTCCTTATGCTTAACCACCTCTCCACTCTTCCATTGATCCGTCTATTCATCCTTCCAGTTATCCGTCCATCTTTCTGTTTACCTACTCATCCACCTGTCATACATCCAACCATCCCCCACCTTTCCACACAGATACCCATCCATCTTTCTTGCCTTCTCATCCACCCATCTGTCCACTGACCCCATCACTTGTCCTTCTCTGCTGGGATCGCACCAACAGTCATTTATCAGCATTCTAGATGCTGGACTCTATGCTGCTCTGTATTCTGGGATACAGTGAAGTACAGGGCAAGCTGGGTCTCAGCCCTCTTCCTGTAGCTTACAGCCTGGTGAGGGCTAACCATGATGAGGTAACCAGGCAGAGAGAGAAAATTCCAAGTTATAGTAAGTAATCATCTTGAATTACAGGGGGTGCTGATCAGAGAGGGCAAAGCCATTTAGAGAGGTGACATTTAGCTGAAACTTGAGGTGGGAAGGAGTCAGCCACCTCAAGGATATGAGGAGAGACATTCTCGGGTAACAGTCAGTACGAAGCTCTGACAGGCTGGAGAGGGGAGGAGACAGAGAGGACAGGGCTGCCTACTGGGCAGAGCAGCTGGCTGCAGGTTCTGTGGCAGGGCCTGGAGTCAGGGCAGCCAGCACGGCTGTGAGCAGGGGTGTTTGTGACCAGTGGGGCTGACAGGATGCTCTCGTTTGCCAGCAAAGGCCACCTGAACGCCATCCTGGCCATCAAGGGAAATCTACTAAGCAGTGAAGTCAAGAGCATCCGGAATATACTGGACATCAACACAGGGGTGCAGGAGCCTTCCAGGCCCCTATTTTCACTTATAAAAGTTGGTTAACTTTTCCAAATGTCTGATGTGCTAATGAGCACGCAGCAAACGTCAGGCATCACCCTGGTTGGGGATGCTCAATGGCACTGGCACCGTGACCCATCACCAGCCTCCCACATTCTGCTGCCATTTCTCTCAGCCTTGCCTCTGGAACAAGACCTGGCAGCCAGGATTGGACATACCACTGTCCAGTGGGGCCCAGAACCCACTGTGGGCCGTTGCCCTGTGAGCACGCAAGAATTTTCTCATAAATGATGGTTCATCTTGGGCGGACTGCCCCTACCTTCTACATTACAGTCTGTCTCCTAATGGTGCCCCCTCAGGTGGCTCTGAGTAGCCCCTTCGAGCTCCCTAGGACCAGTGACGAAGCTTCATCCTGATTTCTTCAGCCCGTGGGCTGCCATGAGATAGAGCTGAAAACGAAGAAAGAAAAGGTCATCTTTGTATCTGGGGCCTGGAAGGAGCCTTGTAGGATGCTGTGGCAGCGCTGGCATCAGAACCACTTCCATAGTGGCCCCCTGGCCCTGCAAGTAGCTCCTGGTACCACTCAGCCTGGAGGACCCACTCCTTCACTCCTGTAGGCTGCCCCTGTGTGGGTAAAGCCCTAGGGCGCCTGGGTTCTCTCAGGCCACACCTTCCCCCATGTAGGAATAAGCACCTCCGCAGGCCCACCCTCTGAAGTCTGGGCAGGAACCCAGGGGTCCTCCAAGTGCTTGATCAGCTTCCTGTTGGTGTTGTACCATGTTTCCACACATCCACCGAGTGAGTTTGAACCACAACTTTGCTTACAGTTCTGCAAATTGTGAAATGTGACCCAGGCTTGGAATCTAGGTGTGGTCGGGGCCCATTGCTCCTGGAGGCCCCAGGGAAAATCATTTCCTGGGCTTCCCCAGTTTTTACATGCTACCCACATCTCTTGTCTGAGGCCCTTGTACCTTCAGAGCCAGGAACAGCTACTATGTCCTTCATGCCCCCCTCCCCCAGTGTCTACTGCTTCTGATCCCGCTGTGATTTAGGACCCTGGTGATTGCACTGAATCTGCCTGGAGACTTATTAGCAGCCTTGATTCCAGCTGCAAATTTAATTCCTGTTTGACGCATCACCCAGTAGTCATTGGCTCTGGGGACCAGTTGGTCCCACAGGGTCTACAACTGGAAAACAGGAACTCAATTTCCCATCATGCACCTGCTACTCCACAGACCCTGCTCCTCTCTAGCTGTGAAAGTCCTTCTTAGCACTGACCCAGCCTTGATTATTCCTCATGGTTCAAGGCTAGGGTTTGAAGCCCTGCCTCCAGGTTTATCCCCTTTCCAGGTACTTGCCTTACAAAACTGGCCAGGAATTGGCCAGTGTGAGCAATGCACAAAGGCCTTCACATTTCTGTAGATGTTAGCTTGTTTGATGACATTAATGTTTTTAATAATATATTTATAGTGTTGATTTCGTATGTGTGTACCCAGGACAGAATTTAGGGTGTTTGTTTTTTTTTTTTATAGCTTGATATAAAACTGATTTCAAAAGTGGCTGTGGAGTGGTTTATTTGGAGAATTGCAACATTGGGGGATGGGCTGGGGTAGCTCTAGCTGCTTCTTCAACCTCCTGTTGTCTGCAAACCCTCTCTTCTCTGGTTCTGGTTCATAGTCACAGTCCTGGCCTTCACCCCTCCCTGTCTTTTTGCCTATAAGCTGGCAACTGGTCACCCTGAGGATGGGGGCTATGGAGGGCTGGTGGAAAGGTGAAATGTGGGCTGCCACTGTGTTAACTGCATGCTTGAACTCCAACAAGAGGCTCCTGGGTTATGTACAACTGGAAGGGCGTGATGGCCGCCTCCTCTGCACCCCAGTTCTGACCTAGGATTTGAGGCAGAGCTGAGTCTCTAGGGAAAAAAGAGGGCATGACAAACTCACTCCACAAAGTTCAGGAAGGATTCTAGGTGGTGAGGAATTGGTGTCTCCCCCATAGCGGGACTGTGTGTGTGTGTGTGTGTGTGTGTGTGTGTGTGTGTGTGTGTGTGCTGCTGGAGAATTCCATGGGATGGGGATGGGATGACTCCCACCACAGAGTGGGAAGACAGGACGGCAGCCTTGCACTGGTTTGAGTCTCCTTCACAGAGCCCAGGGAACTGGGGCCAAAACATTCCTATCTTACCTGGGACCTTCCTGCTAGGATGAGACAAGATCCCTTGGCTGAAGATAAGGGGAGACTAAACCGGGTCAGATGATCACACAGAGTACCCAAAGTGCCAGGTTACCGAGTGGAGGATGACAGTGCCTGGGTGACCCCAGTGGCTCCCGGCTCTTGGCGAGGATCAGGCCCACCTTGTCACCAGCCTAGCTGCCACTTGAGCTCTACATCAGTCATTTCTCCAGGAAAATCCCACAAGAAGCAGGATTTGCCCCAGAGAGGGGAAGTGAGTCACTGGGCTTTAGGGCAGAGGCTCTGTACCTCAGGCCAGCAGGCTCCAGAACGCTGACACACGGGGAGAGGTCACTGCCTGATCCCATCTCTGCCATTGGAAGCAGAGTTCATCCACCAGGGTCCACGTTGAAGGGATCATATCCTGGCTGCCTCCTGTTTTCAGAGGCCCACACAAATGCCAAGTAAGAAAATGGTTGAGAGCTAAATGCAACAGGGTGCCTGCCAGTGGAGTTGACTCCCGAAGGACCGAGGGGGCAACTCTAGCTGTGACATTATGGGGGACTGGCTAAGAGAGAAGACTGTGGCAGAAATCCCAGACTTGAGGGGCCCCTAGCACAGACCGGGACTGAACGCCACTTGGACAAAAGTGGGCAGATGGGAGCTGGGGAGAGTCGGGCTGTAGGGGAAAGGTGGGGAGACCTGGGGGTGAAAGCAAGACTCGGGAGGAGGTCTGCCGGGACAGACCGGAAAACAGTGAGAGACAAGCCAGGGTCAAGTTCATTCCAGCTGTAAGGGGAGGTGTTAGTTTTGAAGAGAAGATTTAATGATGAAGGACCTCACCCTGGATTCTCCAAGGACAGCCGCTGCAGCCCCCAGCAGCATCCGTGAGATGCTGACCAGTTCCTTGAGTTCTCATTTCCCAGGGATGTCAGCCACACTCTCAGGGTGACACCCCAGCCCTGCCCTGATCTGCAACTGTAGCAGCTCCAGTCTCCATCACCAGGGTTCCCCTCTGTGACATAGGAGTCCCATCTCTGCCCTTGCTTACTCCTGTGACTGACTCCTCCACCTACTGGGAGTCCTGTCCTTCAACACATCACTGTGCCAGAACCCCTCACCCCTCCACGCATGCCGCATTCTCCCTGCCAGCTGAGATCCCATGGTTCCTCGGTGAGAGCTTCTACCCAGCAAGGCCCTCCTGTCTCAGCTGCGCTCACTCTCTAGTAGGAACCCAACTCCGTCACTCATGGTCTACACTTGAGCACAGAACATAACTGGAGAAAGCTGAGGCTGTGGTGTACCTGCTCCAACCAGATACTGACTGTGGCTGGACCATCCTGTGCCAGAAATTCATAGCTCCTTTCCATCCCTAAGTCTCCAGCAACACCTGCTTTCAGTCCCTCAGTTGAGTGTGTAAGTATAAAATGCTAACAGCTAGACATGGCTCAATCATGCAATCACCCCAGCTACACCCATAAGCAAATTCAAATGTACATTTATCTTCAATTGAATTTATTTGAGAGGCAGAATATGGCACATTGTTGTGTACTGTGCTCTCCCATGACATTATACAATGTGAATTTCCTAGTCAGCACAGAGGAACCTTCCTCTCTTTCTTCACAGGCCTCCATTGTTGGGTGTGCTGAGATAATTCCCAGCTGCCCATTGATGGGCACTTTGGGAGTTTCCAGTATTTTGCTACGACAATGGAAGTGACTGGCATGATGTCCCTGTCATTTTGCATAATTGCTGGACTACAGATCAGAAAGCCCTAGAAAGGGCGTAGCTGGCTCCAGTTATGAGATCTGTCTGTTAGTCTCACACCCGCCTCCACAGGGCTGTGCCAAGATATCCTCAGAACAGCGCGAGAGAACTGGTGCCCACGACCTTACCCAGGGCATGATCATGACTCGGGTCTTGTAATGAGCCATAATCATTATAGACTTCTGTGATGATTTCTGCAGACTTCTCAAACTGAGCTTGGCTCAGTTTCTCCCCGAGTTCCCCAGGCTCTCAGCCCTCCAAGGCCCCCCAAGGCCTTCCTCACCCTGGAAGGAGCATCTCAGGCCACAGGCTGATGAATTGCTCTTAGCACAGAGACAACCCATCTCTGTCCACAGTCAGAGTCCTCCCTACCCCTCCTCTCTCCCCTGGGGAACTCAGTGGGTTTTCTCTGTCTCCTGTTCTCAAGGCAGCAGATCAGAGAGAGGGGGACAGATGGCAGCAGCATGTAGAAAGGAGACAAAGTTCAGAGAGAAAGTGCAGAGTGGGTGCCCACTGACCTCAGCAAAGCCTTCCCTGAACTGAGGCGAGGGGACAGTTCTCGGTGTATCAGCAGGACTAGTCTTGCTGTACTCTGGAGTCACCCCTGAGAATGATGAATCTCTGGGGTCCCAGTCCCCTGAGTCTGAGCCTGGTGGGGGGTAGTGCAGACACTAAACCTATGTTAAGGTCTGTGTGAGACAGAGTCCCTCTCCTGTATAGACAGCAGTTGTTATTGTAGGCCAACTATCAGGAGGAGGCAGGGGCATTGGCAGCCAAGACCTGCTTTAGTGGGGCACCCTCCTGTGGGGTGGAGGAGTGTTGGAAGACGTGTGGGATTGCATGCACCTAGAGGCTGGACCTCCTGTAGCCAGGTGCCTCAGCGGGTCCTGGAGCTGATGAGCGGTCTCATCCCTGGGAGGCTGGCCTGGCCTGGACACATGATAGCAGGATGATTTCATTCATGGCAAGAAAGAGCAAGCCTATTGTGCTCTTCTAGTTCCTGCTGGAGTCACATCTGTTGATGTCCCCGGGCCACATGATCAAGTCCACATGCAAGAGTTGGAGAAAGAGGCTGTTTTATGAGAGGAGGCGCTGGAGTGCTCTGTGACCATCTCTCCTGCTGGTTTACCACAGCCCATCTTGACTACAGCTGTGCGCATTCCTTTCACGAACAAGATGTCTTCCCCTGCCTAGTTCCCCAAAGTTCCGTGTAACCGGGATCACAGCTGCCATCAACAACCCTGTGATCTCCATGGGACTGGGTGCTGAGCCTCAGCAAGGCTCCATGAATGAGGCCACACTTCCTTTTCTGCAGTACTGGGATGGAGCCCAGAGCCTCAGTCCTCCACAGCACTCTACCACTGAGCTACATCCCAGACCCTTCTAAAAACAGTATTTTGACCCTGAGACTCATTGACTTCCCCTGGCTGGCCTGGAGCTCATGATTTTCCTCTGCTCCCTGCCCACCCCCACCCCCACCCCCACCCCTCTCTTTGTGTTTTTGGTTTTCTTTTTCAAGACAGGGTTTCTCTGTGTAACAGTCCTGGTTGTCCTGGAACTCACTTTGTAGATCAGGCTGGCTTCAAACTCACAGAGATCTCCTGTGTCTGCCTCCCAAGTGCTGGGATTAAAGGTGTGTGCCACCACCGCCCAGACGCCTCTCTTGATCCAGGGAGTTGTGAACTAAAAAGCCAAGTTGGATGATGAGACACACTTGACATTGAGTGGCCAGAGAGGGGTGGGACAGGATGGCTGCTTTTGGTAATGTCATGAAGAAGGGCCAACAGACTCTTCCGTCAGACCTTGTTTCCCAGCCCAGGAGAGGACAAGCCTCTCTAAGGCCTAGTGCTGTCCCCTGGGGTCTCTCTAGCTATTCTTCTGACACTTCCCTGTGCAGAGGGCTGGCTCTGCCTTAACAAGTGGCTCATGTCTGTGGCTTTCCTGGTCTTTGTGCCATCTCAAGCCAACCAAGAGGTGCCAGGACAGTGACCTGACAGGGAACGTCTAACGTAAGGTTCTGACATGGGGTTGGAAACAAGGTATTGGCTACTGAAGAATAAAGGTATCTGTAAATATGCGGGCATTGTAGCACACATCTTTAATACCAGCACTCGAGAGTCAGAGACAGGCAGATCTCTGAGTTCAAGGCCATCCTGGTATACATAGTGATTTCTAGGTCAGCCTGGGCTATGTGATGAGACAGTCTCAAAAATAGATATATAAATTAATTAAATTTAAGAGAGAGATCTCTAAAACAAAATAACAACAACAACAACAACCCCACAGGAATAGCAGAGCTAGGCCATGGCCACCAGCCCTGTGGGAGGCCAAGCTGCAGTCCCAGGAAGAAGTCAATGCTTCCAATCCTTCACGCCTGTTGCTCTCTTCTAGCTCCTGCTGGAGTCATGCACAGGCAGTAGCTGGGCAGAAAACTTGTTGCAAAGAGTCCTGAGGGAAGCAGTGGGAAGCTGTGCCCCTGACCAGCCAGCCTCCCAGTGGAAAAAGCTTTTATTCTTCATTGTCCCTCTAGCGCCCTCTGCTGCTGCTGAATATTACCAGTTAT